TAGGTCCTTCACATGGACGGATTTGGCCTCCAGTGGACCGCTCCATCTTCATAGGTCCTTCACATGGACGGATTTGGCCTCCAGTGGACCGCTCCATTTTCATAGGTACTTCACATGGATGGATTTGGCCTCTAGTGGACCGCTCCATCTTCATGAGTCCCTCAGATGGACGGATTTGGCCTCCAGTGGACCGCTCCAACTTCATGGGTCCCTCAAAAGGACGGATCAAGCTTCAGGTGGTCCGTTCCGAGTTGTATAAGTTGATAAAAGTAATAATGTAAAAGAATAGAAAGCAGAGGTCAGTAATTAGATCAAGTTAGGTGATCGGATTACTGGAGAATATAAATTAGAGGTCAGTAATTAGATCAAGTTAAGTGATCGAATTACTGGAGATAGTCATAGACTCCCGTACCGAGGTTGAGGAAAGATAGGATAAGGAAAAGGATTGGGGCTTAAGGATGGGCTGAAGCCCATCCCATTAAGAACAAGCTACCCAAAAGGAAGGAATCCTATAAAGAGATTAGAATATGCCCCCCCTCAATTGGAGGGACAGGGACAAAGAGAAAGGTGGACGGAGATTGTCTATAATTCAATAAGAGCGGAGCGCCCAACCACCGTCAGATAGATATCAGGTGAGGGTTTAGAGGCTCCCAAAGAATATTGAAAAAAGAGCCCCGAGCAAAGTCCTCTTCCCAGAGACAACAAATCCCCGAGAGAAGTCTTCTCCCAAGAGGTACCGAGCTCTGAGAAAAGTCCTCTTCCCCGAGGCACCAAGTCCTCTTCCAAAGAGGAACCTAATCCCAAGAAAGTCCTCTTCTAAGAGGCCCAAATCCCCGAGAAAAGTCCTCTTCCAAGAGGCACCGAGTCCTCTTCCCGAGGAATTAAAAAGAGTGAAAAGTCCTCTTTTCTAGAGCCACAAAGTCCCGAGAAAGTCCTCTTCCAAAGAGGCACAAAGTCCCGAGAGAGTCCTCTTCCAAAGAGGCACAAAGTCCCGAGAAAGTCCTCTTCCAAAAAGGCACAAAGTCCCGAGAAGGTCCTCTTCCAAAGAGGCACAAAGTCTCGAGAAAGTCCTCTTCCAAAGAGGCACAAAATCCCGAGAAAGTCCTCTTCCAAAGAGGCACAAAGTCCCGAGAAAGTCCTCTTTCAAAGAGGCACAAAGCCTGAGAAAGTCCTCTTCCGAAGAGGCACAAAGTCCAGAGAAAGTTCTCTTCCAAAGAGGCACAAAGTCCAGAGAAGGTCCTCTTCTAAAGAGGCACAAAGTCCCGAGAAAGTCCTCTTCCAAAGAGGCACAAAGTCCCGAGAAAGTCCTCTTTCAAAGAGGCACAAAGTCCCGAGAAAGTCCTCTT